AGGCAGATGCATTCCGACTTAGAAGAAAGCTCCCATTTAGTCGACTCTTACGACATGCTTTTGGGTAGACAGTGGGTCTATTCTTGTTTACCCTATAACAGGGCCCCGGAACCCACACTGGGGATGTTGCATCTGAAATGACACACTTCTTGAATGACCTCAATCTTCACATTCTCCCAGGATCTCTTCCTGCAGGTACAAACGTCTCCTACGGTTGGTTTCTTCACACAACCTGCTGGCCTCAGCTTGTCCCCAGAAGACTTCATAGGTTCCATTCGTCTCTCATAGCAACTTTTTATGTCGCCCCCGAACCAGCATTCGCAAATAAGGCCCTGTAGGGGATATTTTCTAACAAATCATATGACAAAAAATCTACTAACAATGGATACAAGCCACACCATTTTTAGACCCTATATTTTGGGGAAATATGTGAAAACGAGATGTCTTATTTATATACGTATATCTGTGTTATGAGTTGGGTTAACGAAATGTCTCAGTTATCTACGTATGTGTGTGTGTGTTATGAAATGAGTTAACGAAATGTCTCATTTATTTACGTATGTGTGTGTGTTATGAGTTGGGTTAATGAAATGTCTCATTTATCTACGTACGTATGTGTGTGTGTTATGTGAACAAAATGTCTCATTTATGTACTATGTGTGTGTGTTATGTGGACAAAATGTCTCATTTATGTACTATGCGTGTGTGTTATGTGAACAAAATGTCTCATTTATGTACTATGTGTGTGTGTTATGTGAACAAAATGTCTCATTTATGTACTATGTGTGTGTGTTATGTGAACAAAATGTCTCATTTATGTACTGTGTGTGTGTTATGTGAACAAAATGTCTTATTTATGTACTATTTGTGTGTGTTATGAGATGGGTTAACAAAATGTCTCATTTATGTACGTACGTACAGAAGACAGGGGGCACAGAAGACAGGGGGCACAGAAGACAGGGAGCACAGAAGACAGGGGGCACAGAAGATGGGAAGGAGGGGACACTGCACAAGATAGGAAGACATCACCAGCTGGTGGAGAGAGGGCTCATGTTCTCTTGGAGGATTCACACAGAAAAAGGTGTGTGTGTGTGCATGTGTGTGTGTGTTTGTGCATGTGTGTGTTTGTGCATGTGTGTGTGTGTACATGTGTGTTTGTGCATGTTTGTGTGTGTACATATGTGTGTGTGTGTGTGTGTACATATGTGCGTGTTTGTGCATGTGTGTGTGTGTTTGTGCATGTGTGTGTTACTTGTTCAAGTGTGAAAGAAACAACAAATAAATGGGGTGTATGTTTGTGCTGGTGTGAAGAAATTGTGTGCATATGTGTGTGTGTGTACATATGTTTGTGTGTGCATGTGTGTGTGTGCATATGTGTGTGTGTGCGCACATGTGTGCATATATGTGTGTGTGCGCAAGAGCGGCAAAATCACATGTGAGAGAGAAGCAATCAACGAGATTTATACATCAAATTCAAACAAACAGGAACTGCACTGACCCACGAAGACGATAGAGTTGAGCAAGCCTTTGTCAGATGACGTCAGTGAAAGGTCACAGGTCGCCGACGGCAGCAGGAAACTGACAGACAGCACTTCGATGGCATCGCTGGACACCGCCCAGCCACACAGCACCAGCAGAATGATGTGGAACTTCCCCCGGCCTGAAATAATCAGATCAGATAAGTACAACACAACAGGGGGAGCCACTGTGATGTAGCAGCTAGACACATAGCTGCAGATCTGTATTCTCCTGAGTTCAGGTCCTGAAGGAAGCTGACGTTTTCAAAAATGGCCTTGGCTCCCAGATTGCCACAGCCTTGAATAGGTACCAGGTAAATTCCTGGGAAGTAAAGGTAGCTGACATGACCTGGACCACATCACCCACCAAATGCAGACTGGTCTATAAAAGAAAGGTCTAGCCCTATATGCCCAATACATCTGAAGGAACTGAAAAGATGGTCTACTATACAACTATCTGCCGCTGTGACTCAGATGCTGCAAATTTCAATTTGTTATTCAGAGATTCCCTGTTCAATTCCAGCTACAGGTGATCTGGCAGCCGACTGAGTTGCATTTATTTCAACAATAGTATCGATCGCCAACCTTTCAGTCACTGACAACAACAACAACAAAACACACTACTTTTTTAGGGCAGTGTAGACAAGGGATTGTGAGCCTGAAGATTTAAGGCTGCATGGCAAGTGCTGTCGCCACGGACTGTGCAGGTTAAGATCTTTAATTTTGCCTCTCACAGAAAAACTCCATCACCTTACCAGGGGTTAAATTCAGGTCTTCCGCATTAGAGCTCGATGTTAACCACTCGGCCAGTCGCTTTTTTCAGAATTAATAGCAAACTACTGAATGTAAAATTGCCTAGTAAAACCACACACAGCCAAACAAAAATTGGGGTTGATTCTACAACATCCTACACGGACACACAAATAACCATACAAGTACTCAGTGACATTAAACACAACCATGACAGGACATGAAACAAAACTAATCAACCATTCACTAAACATCATCTCCTTCTTCTACTACTTCTTCTTCAGCATTCCGAGCCCTTGAGGTTCATTGCTACAGATATCATCCGCCTAAGTTCATCTCTCTGGTTGGCCTTCTCTTTCCAGTTGGTGACACCAAGTGTTTGCAGGTCTGTCTGGACATTATCTCTCCATTGTCTTCTTGGTCTGCCTCGTGGTCTAGGACCTTTCATCTCCGTGTTTTTACTTCTCTGTTATCTGACATTCTCTCAGTATGTCCCAGCCATTTCAGTCTATTAGCTCTCATGATGCCAGTGATCAATGGTGATTTAAACAGATTATGAAATTCATTGTAGCTTCTCACTCTCCATTTCCCGCTGTTTGCATCTTTGATGGGTCCAGAGATTCTCCGTAAGACTCTGCTTTAGAAAATTTTTAATAAGGCTTCATCTCTTTTAGTTGTAAACATCATCTCCTACATGAGTGCATTTCACAAGCAGAGCACACACATGCTCCATTGTTTCTTTCACAGGAGGCACACACACGCTCCATTGTTTCTTTCACAGGAGGCACAAACACGCTCCATTGTTTCTTTCACAGGAGGCACACACACGCTCCAATGTTTCTTTCACAGGAGGCACACACACGCTCCATTGTTTCTTTCACAGGAGGCAGACACACACTCCATTGTTTCTTTCACAGGAGGCAGACACACGCTCCATTGTTTCTTTCACAGGAGGCAGACACAAGCTCCATTGTTTCTTTCACAGGAGGCCGACACACGCTCCATTGTTTCTTTCACAGGAGGCACACACACGCTCCATTGTTTCTTTCACAGGAGGCACACACACGCTCCATTGTTTCTTTCACAGGAGGCAGACACACGCTCCATTGTTTCTTTCACAGGAGGCAGACACAAGCTCCATTGTTTCTTTCACAGGAGGCAGACACACGCTCCATTGTTTCTTTCACAGGAGGCAAACACACGCTCCATTGTTTCTTTCACAGGAGGCCGACACATTGTATTACACAGTGTATTTATACAGTGCCTACTCCAGTGCATGTAAGACAAACAGTGCCTACTCCAGTGCATGAAAGACAAACAGTGCCTACTCCAGTGCATGAAGGACAAACAGTGCCTACTCCAGTGCACAAAGGACAAACAGTGCCTACTCCAGTGCATGAAGGACAAACAGTGCCTACTCCAGTGCATGAAGGACAAACTGTGCCTACTCCAGTGCACAAAGGACAAACAGTGCTTACTCCAGTGCATGAAGGACAAACTGTGCCTACTCCAGTGCATGAAGGACAAACAGTGCTTACTCCAGTGCATGAAGGACAAACAGTGCCTGCTCCAGTGCATGAAAGACAAACAGTGTGTTCTCCAGTGCGTGAAAATCAAGCAGGACTCCAGTAACAAAGACAGACACTGAGAGAGAAGGCAGAATGACCAGCTTTACAACCACTCCCAGGCACAATCACAGCAACAACAAAAACAACACCAGCAGCAGCAACAACAACAACTTTAAATACCAACCACAAGACAGAAGTGCATCCTCGTAGGTGGTCACCTTTGTTTTGGTGTCTGAAATTTAAAAAATTAAATTTAAAAATTAACACAAACAAAACGGAGACTATAAACACTTTTATAAGTATTCTCTTTGTCCGTGAATCTTTTGATCTTGGATGCAACTGCACTCTACCTGAGTGCACAATATAGCTGTGTATTTACCACTTTTACAGCAGACATAATCAACTTCTTTAGAAGTTTTTTAATTACTTTTATTTTAAAAACAGAAATCTGTGGCAAAAGGGCCATGTGCCTTGCACTATGAAAATCATGATGCCCATTTCTGACTGCTCTCTTCTGTTCATGAGTAAAGTCAGTGACAGAGATTCCTGGGATTATCAACAGCAGAAGAGAATAATCAAGTCAATCAGAAAGCCACCAAAACTGGCCTTAGAACAGGACACAATCGACTCTGCAGCCACATGTACACAACATGTAAAACTGGGGAATCAGCCATGTGCACATGTGGATTGGCACCAGAGACAACAGATCATTTCCTCTAAGACTGTCCCAAATACAGGATAGCAGGGCAAACAATTTGGCCAAGAGAGACACTGATGGAAGTCAAACTATATGGGTCACTCAGTGAATTACAAAAGACACTGAAGTTCATACCAAAGCCAGCATTGCAGATACAGATAATTTTTTTTCCAACTGAATGAACAAGAAAAAGAAGATTACAGGGGATCATAGCTGGAGCTACTGAGTTTGTGCTTTGTGCAACACTTCCTACCAGAGAGACAGAGCTGTACAGGATACAACTATTGAACTGAGACTCTCAGCTTGAAACAGAAATGATAAAAAACCAAACTAAATGTAGATCAGCAAGATTCACAGTATAACACACACAAACAAAACATGAACGTTGTGGCTATAGAGCCTTCATCAGCACATACGCTGGCTTTGAACACCATTTTTGTCAACTATTATTATACTTATTTTATTCATAGAATCATAGGCAGTTGGCAGATTAGTGGCAAATTTTGGAAGCTGCAGAGATATAGTTTTATATACAAATTATGAGACCCTCGATAGATAAACAGAGTAATGAAGATGTCTGGAAAGAAACTGACTCACGAACTGAGTGCCCACATCAGGGGGAGACAATCTACATTCTTTGGTAATGTAATGAGAAGGAGAAAACTGGACTACGTCATAACAGTGGGAAAGTTCGCGGGGAGGAGAGACAGAGGTAGACAGTTTGACATCACGGCATGGATGACTGATGAGACAGAAGGTTGTGGATAGACATGACTACCACCGCCATACAGCATGGACTTTAGAAAGTTATTAATGCACACTGAAAAAGGTATCAAAGGGTGGATATGACCCAGAAAGCGATGATTGCTCTCAGCAAACAGGTGGGAGGACACAGTCTCACATACCATTATCTCCTAAGTCAGGGGTACTCAACTAACCAAGATCTGTGCACCCGCTTATATTTCTGAAAAACTGCCTCAGACCCCAAACATTTGTACAGTCATACAAAAACATTTATTAGAATTTATAAATATTATAATCATAGAAAATGGGTACCAGGATGGGCTGTCCTGGGAAAGTAAAGACAGCCGGCGTAATGCTGACCACATTACCCACAGAGTGCTGATGGTCTGTAAAAATATGGGACGCTCTGCCCATATGCCCGATGCGCCGAAAGGCGTGAAAAGGGAACTTTACTTTTTTTTAGAAAGAATGCATTCCAAAGTTAAAGATTGTTTTGTGTGTGTTGTAAATTAAATATTGGACCCTTTATATTTTCAGAATACCATGGACAAAGAGGAACAGAAATACTGCATAAAAGGTTTCCAACTAAGGCTTTCTGGAAGTCAGATGTGTTAGGCCAAAAGATGCAGATATTGCAGCCTAGCTGTAAACCACAATGCAATGTACCAACTGCCCCTTTGAGGGCAAATGCATAAAAAGAAGAGAAAGATAAAGAAGAAGAAGAAGAAGACCATAAAGAAAGTTAAATGTCAGATGAACAAAAGCTGACTGTTGTGGGTGGAGCCAATATGCTTTAGACCTGTAAGGACATACTCCATGACATGCCGACATCAGAAGAAGGTGGAGTGAAAGGTAATGATGAAGAGAAATGCAGGAAAATACAACACAATGAATATGGAGAGGCGGGAGGTTGGGGGAGGGGGAAAGGCTAAGATTCTGACAGCCAAAGGTAAGACATGGAAGCAAGCACTAAAAATGAACACCTCACCCTGTTCAATTCCAACCAAATCCATAGTCAGAAAAACTTGCCGATCTGGCGGCTAGCTCCACTTCTCAAAGGAATAAAGGAATCAACAGTAAACTTGTTGATCTGGCGGCCAGCTCCACTTCTCAAAGGAACAAGGGAATCAACAGTAAACTCCTAGTTGAAGGAGCTACTGGTCCTCGTGGACGGACACACAGAAACTATGACACTATCAAGTGGGAAAAACAACACAAACTAAACCAGGTTCTATGCCCTATTATTGCTATACAATGAATCTGTACCCAAATTATTGTGCTATCTCTAAGTTCATAGTTGGTTTAGGTTATCTCATCTCAGTAACTTCATGAGTACGACTATCTGATTACACCACAAACTCATTAGTTATCATTTTAACATTCTAACACTGAGTTCTCAAATTCAGACAGTAAATGAATGAAACAGTTTTGTGCAGTCATTAACTCATAGCTTCCGTGGCTTTACTGCTACACACAAGTGAGAATAATAATGATTCGCCCCAAAAATATGGGCAATACAGCTCGCGTGAGAATGGACACCAAATGGGAACGGTTCAATTCATTAAACACAGGAATAGACACAAATGTATGCTACCACCCGATGTTTTCAATTTGTGCCTTGCAAATTAATTAGATCCCTACAAGATATTTCGGGAATTTTTTATCACTGAAAACTAACCATAATGAAAACATGCTGCTTTGTGATGTTCATTTGTTGGCTGAATATTAGACTCTTTAAAAACAAAAACATAGTTATCCTATGGCAAATTACATTACTTGAAAAACCCACAAATCCAAAAAACACATCAATATTGAAAGTAACATCATTTTGACATCTATAATCTTTGTAATTGAATGAGTACAATCGTTCAGAATTGCACCAAGAAAACCCTAGGTTTCAACAAATCAATGGACAATTCCTTTGCATCTGGGTTATTGATAGTTTAGGTGTGGGGGACTAATTCAACTAGTAAACATGCATATCAGATAACTATGCATTTCTTTCTTTCTTTCTTTCTTTTTTTCTTTCTTTCTTTCTTTCTTTCTTTCTTTCTTTTTTTTCTGTCTGTCTGTCTTTCTTTCCCCCTGCCTCCATCCATCCCTTTCTTTCTTTCTTTCTTTCTTTCTTTCTTTCTTTCTTTCTTTCTTTCTTTCTTTCTTTCTTTCTTTCTTTCTTTCTTTCTTTCTTTCTTTCTTTCTTTCTTTCTTTTCTTCTTTCTTTTCTTTCTTTCTTTTTTTCTTTCTTCTGTCTGTCTTACTTTCTGCCTCCATCCATCCCTTTCTTTCTTTCTTTCTTTCTTTCTTTTCTTTCTTTCTTTCTTCTTTTCTTTCTTTTTTCTTTCTTTTCTTTCTTTCTTTCTTTCTTTCTTTCTTTCTTTCTTTCTTTCTTTCTTTCTTTCTTTCTTTTTTTTCTGTCTGTCTGTCTGTCTGTCTTACTTTCCCCCTGCCTCCATCCATCCCTTTCTTTCTTTCTTTCTTTCTTTCTTTCTTTCTTTCTTTCTTTCTTTCTTTCTTTCTTTCTTTCTTTCTTTCTTTCTTTCTTTCTTTCTTTCTTTCTTTCTTTCTTTCTTTCTTTCTTTCTTTCTTTCTTTCTTTCTTTCTTTCTTTCTTTCTTTCTTTCTTTCTTTCTTTCTTTCTTTCTTTCTATTTTTTTTTTAAAACTAGGAAAGCATCATCTAATAACTGCATTTGTGTTTCTAAACAGCAAAAAAGCCATTAAAAGAAAGGATAGATATAATTGTAACAGAAATCAAGATAAAGGCTGTTTACTGTGAGAAACAGAAGTTGTGATAATTATGTTGGAAAAAAAGTGTCGACTAGAACTCAACATTTAAAAAAAGATTTCCTTAATCTCATAAGACTAGGTGTTGTCTCGAACTGCTTGATTGCAGTTTGTCCCCTCTAGGGTTGCAGTCCACATAACGAGCACTTCAAGGATGAGAATCCTACTTTTAAAAATTTAGTTGAGCCCAGTTCAACTTTATGGTTATATTAGCCCCCTTTTCCCCCTGAGTCCCAAAGTAACCTGAAGTCCAGATCAGAGAATTCAACAGTTCAAATGTATGGTTATATTACACCCCCTTTTCCCCCCGAGTCCCAAAGTAACCTGAAGTCCAGATCAGAGAATTCAACAGTTTAAATGTATGGTTATATTACACCCCCTTTTCCCCCCGAGTCCCAAAGTAACCTGAAGTCCAGATCAGAGAATTCAACAGTTGAAATGTATGGTTATATTAGCCCCCCTTTTCCCCCCGAGTCCCAAAGTAACCTGAAGACCAGATCAGAGAATTCAACAGTTGAAATGTATGGTTATATTAGCCCCCCCTTTTTCCCCCCGCGTCCCAAAGTAACCTGAAGACATCAGATCAGAGAATTCAAACAGGTTGAAATGTATGTTATATTAGCCCCCCTTTTCCCCCGAGTCCCAAAGTAACCTGAAGACCAGATCAGAGAATTCAACAGTTGAAATGTATGGTTATATTAGCCCCCCTTTCCCCCCGAGTCCCAAAGTAACCTGAAGTCCAGATCAGAGAATTCAACAGTTTAAAAAAGCAACTGAGACTGCTCAAAACTAAATGCACTTACAAGAAAAATGTTGACTTAACTGTACAAGAAATGAAGAAGAAGGTCTGAGTAGGTGATGTTCAACCCCATCAGGACCGTACATGAAGGAATACAACACTCGGTGACACAAAGTGCCACCATTCGGATGAGAACCATCCAGGCACAAGTCCCAGAAACCCTGTTCAACTATTAGGTTTTATCAGGCTTCCGACGACAGCTGGGATAAAAAATTTAAAAAAGTGTCGCATACTGGGACAGAATTCCACACGATCAAAGAATAGTGTCATTAAAATTAACAGTTTTGATCACTGATAATTTAATACAATTACAAGAAAAATGATGGTACAGCTGTAAAACAAACGAAGAAGAAAGTCTTAAGACTGACTGATGTTTTACCCAACCAGGACATCATATCAAGCGATATACACCCCCCGACACAAAGTGCCAGCATACGGATGAGGATAATCTAGGGACAGATTCCCAAAATCCTGTTCAACCCATAGGCTGGGTTATATTAGGGCCCCGGCAATAGCCAGAGTGGGGCTTTAAACAAAATTTTTTAATGGTGTCCGACATTAGGACAGAGTAGTATGACTTTAATGATCAAGTTTAATCAACAGTTTCTGATCACCGAAAATTAAATGCAATTACAAGAAATATGATATAATTTGGAAAAGAAATTAAGAAAAAGGTCTTAATTTTAACAGTAGAAAAACAAATCATGAGTCATTACCTCCAAAAACTGTTCTCCAGAACTGAACATTAAACCAAGTGGTAACTGACTGACTGACTTTCTACCCCATCAGGACATCACATAGCGAAAAACACCCAATGACACAATGTGCCACCATGTGGATGAGGATCACTGTGGAGAGGTCCCAGAAACCGTGTTCAGCCATTAGGCCATATTTATGGCCTGGCTATATTGCGGCCCCCGGCAAGAGCCAAGGTGGGGCTTCAAATAACGAAACATGTCATCCTAAAAGGGACGGGAAGTATGATAAACCAAATGGTATTAGTCTGAAGAACATAGAGGAGACAGCCTCAATACTGGCTCTTGAAGCTTAATACTGAGAGTTTCGGGCTCCGTCTGGTCTATACAACACACATGAAAGTAGAGAGGATTTGTCCCCCTTACCTGTATGTAACACCCATGCAGC